GTTGAATTAGTATTGAATTTTCTATGAAATTGGCCAGACAACTCGATGTTGTCCCTACGCCAACTTTCGGCAAAGCTTACCCTACTACTATGCCTGGTCTCTTTCCGAAGGATTTCGGATGTTAGGGCCTTCGACGTGGACGGTCTTTCCTTCTCCCCAGAAGGAGTCTCTTTTTCAGTTTCGCGTCGCATGAAAACGTATTCGTCTTTGATTTTGATTATCCGTTTTTCCCGGCTACCCCCCGCCCGTCTCTGCGTGGTTAAGATTTTTCTCCCATATGTGGAGGTTACGGCTTCGCTCCAGAGTTCCCACTCGGGGCAGCGGCCACGCACACTTTTTCGTCGGGTACTTCACTGGCGGATATTATGCGATCGGCTGACTTGTCTCGCAAGGAGAGTGTTCGTATCTTTTATTTCCATCCTGCTTTTCATGCTTTTTTTGCCCTTCTCTCACAGTGTTAAAAATGCAAATATGAAGCCTCCTGTCATGTGGTAAAATTGTAGATTATACTAACGTAGTGTACCTATAATCTTAATTTTAGTAATGACAGGAGGCGAATATTTCCCACACTTCCTCTCCCTAGCAGGCTTCTCTGTCCTCTCTACCTATTTTTTCTACTATTGCTTATGCATTTTTCATACTTTATTATGGTGACATCATTTTACAAATGTAACATGAATGTCTAGAGATATTGTCACTAGGGTACTGATGAAATATGGCCATTTCGCTACCTTTCACCTTTTTTTCCTTTTTTGCAGTCTGAATACTGGCACCATACAGTGGATTTAATCTTCGCAGCTTGGTTGTTTCAAGCAAAGTTTGAATTACATAGGATCCACACCGTTATCTGAGTTATGATTGTTGGACTTGTTCACTGGACTGTTCGTTCGCTACAAAGAACGAGTAAGTGGAAGTGCATCACAGAGCTATTTATAGCAGTGACTCTTGTTTTCTGATTGGTTTAAAAGTTTTGATTGATCTGTGCTGCTGGAGTTTTAGTGAAGAAAGATTATGCAAATATTCACCTCCTGTCATTACTAAAATTAAGATTATAGGTACACTACGCTAGCATAATCTACAATTTGTATATTCATGTATATTCTTACATTTTCAAATGTATAAATTAATATACATATTAATATCATAATATATATGCATTAGTTTCCCCATGTATGAAAGTTTACTAAAGAAGTAGAATTTTTAGCAGTGTCTTTAGTTTAGAATATTGTGGAAATGCATTTTGATCAATATTACACACTGCTTGAATTCTCTATTGCCGTGGATACTGCACATCCAACTCACTGCCTGAAGGTGTATATAAGAATTCAGTAAATAGCAACAGCAGATCTCATTAACTATTGATCTAATCATATGATAACAAATATTTGACACAGATACTAGCTCATTATGATGTGTTGCCTGTAGGACTGTGCATTATCACATTATATGAGGACATTGCTCATAGTTTATTTTTTTTTTGTTATTTTTTTTCCCTTTTTTTAGTTTTGTTTAGATTTTCACTTTTTATTTGGGCATTAGTTCAAATGTTATATATTTTAAAATCGAGAATAAATGTTAAAAAATTAAAATCAAAATCATTGTTCAAAAAGCACAAAGATGCACAAACATATGCATTTAGTAAAATTTTCACAAACATTTACCTTTCATTAGCTGCAAATCTGTCCTCTGAGGTTAATAAATATCAACCACATTTTTACCCATGACTTATTGTCTTGTTATTGTTGAGCACTGTCCAAATACATGTTTCCCATAGAGATATTTTGAGGACAAATCTTCAGTCCAAATGCTTTTCATAGACAAAAGTGGTATTATAGAGATATACAGATTCATATATAAAAAATATATTATTTTGGCCTTCACTAGTAGCATTTTTAAGAATTTGTATTTAACTACTAAAATGGTGACTTTTACACAAAGAATAAATCTCCTAAATGAAAGTTTTAAAAAGAAAGACAGCCAGGACAGGGTCTTTGCAGCATAACCACTTCATTAACATGAAGTGGCTATTGTGCTCAAGGTGATCCTTTACGTGTTGCAAAGTGTTATTTGTTTATTCTTTTGATGCACTTATGATTCTAATCTAGCAGGCATTTGTTAATATCAATTTAGGATAAAACAACATTTTTGTGTATAGACTTCCAAAGGATACATTCATGAAATATAAAAATTAAATATACAATATAGTTAAAAGACATACTTAATTTTAACATTTAACTGAATTATTCATTGTTTGCAAAAGTATTGAGGGGATAAAATGTTTTTGAAAAACTGTACAGTACTCTTTATATTTTAATATTAAATTATATTTAAATATAAATTTCTTCTTCGTGTAAAAGTCACCATTTTAGTAGATAAATAACAATTCTTAAAAATGTAACTTGAACTAGAAATGCAATAAACCAAAGACCCCAATACAGCAGTGAACAGACTTGATAAACAACAGTTATCAGGTATACACTGTATAGGTATAAATAAGGAAGCTAGAGAAATGATCAGGTATGCAGAATTATAAAAGAACACAGTAGGATGTAAAAATAATACCTTTATGTGGGCATACTCTCTACATAAGGCCAGTATAATTACATTAACTGTTTATTGTATACAAGGCTTTGCAAGGTGATCTTATGTTCCCCAATGCAAAGCAAAAATAAGTTATACAATCATATCAGGAGTCAAAATCTCCATTCACTGCTAGCCATTGGCGAGTGAACATTTAGCCCTGCCGAGTAGAAATTCACCTAATATTATTGGGGAAAAGATTAAGAAGAACCAGTTATTTCTGAGTGGCAATATATTATTAAGTTTTTATATGAATTAATACAATGTATCTAAAAAAAAATTAAGAAAATTTTTTTTTTTTAAACATTATTCACAAGCCAAATCAGAAACATGTAGCAATATTCATACATCTGTGCACAAAAACACAGCATTCTCGTCATTTTATAAATACTCCCTTCTGATCCTTCTGATATGCCTCTTCTTGTTAAGCTTTTCACAAATCTTCTTGGTTATTTCTTATTGCTCTGTAACCTTGCTCTGACCAGTCCACTCAGTGAAATATTCTCACAGGTGCTGTTTGCTTAGCAGAGCAGATAGAAAGCCATAAGACAAAACTGACACCTGTACTTGTAAATGGAAGGTCAACTGGCAGCACCATCTGCATCATCATTAGCTTCAGCTCAGACATTACCTACACGTACTTAATCTTTGTTTTGCTGTCAAAGCTTAGTTTCTTCTGCACACTTCCTTTTCAAGAGGCTAACTGGGAAAACTTAGCTGAGTGCATTTCTTTTCTCTCCGGTATATATAATGCATGTTGCTTCCTTGGAATGCAATAAACAGCAGATGTTTAATCAGGACCACTGGGATCCACCATATGCAACAGTGCTTTGAAGTATGATTGTAATTCATGAACTGAATATTAGGATGTAAAATGTAATTTGAAAAAAAAAAAATGTTGGTTGTGAAACTAAAGGTTCTGTCATTGGTTTCAAAATGAATTGTTCTGTATAACAGTATTCTATGTTATATTTTGCAATGCATACAACGTATAACACCATAATCAAATTCCAAAAGTTTCACAGAGTAGTGCAAATAGAAAGTTTTATTCAGGATTGGGAGATCAAAATTATATACAACGTTTCGGTGTCAAGTCTTAATCCTGTTTGACGCCGAAACATTTTATATAATTTAGTTTTTCTGATCTTTAATAAAATTTCTATTTCTTATTTCCTATATGCACTGAGTTCCCTGAGTTCAACACCACCTTTGGAATTGGATTCTTATATCATCGTCAAGATGACCACAAATGAAACAACTTAATACGGACATTTACTTTTTGTAAAAAAAAAAAAACAGTATTTCCAAAGGTCTGCAAATTAAAAATCCACTTCCCTAATTTTCTCTGCTCTACAAGCACAGTAGTGAATGAGTCAGGAATCACTTTATCCACCTACTTTATCACAAGAAAGAAAGTATTAAACAAAAAAAAAAAAGTCACTTCTTCAAAACCTTTGGGAAAATAATGTTCATATTACTGAAAAAAGTAGACATTAAAAATGCAGCAGGCGCTTCTACGTAAGAAAAAAAAAGAAATTTGCCAATACATACTAGCAAAAACAAGTCGAGACCCCACCAAATACTAAAGAAACAGAACTCAAGAATTTAATTAAATGTTTTCCAAAGCAGTCCCAAGCCTGGATGAAAAAAGGGGAGGGTTGGGCATGGGGATAGCAACCTCACCCTGGAAAAATCTCAACTGCTACAGAAACGCTAAAAAGAGAAACAGAGACTAATTTTCCTGGAAGATGGAGAACCTCAGACAATTCGGAGATGCCTGATGATAGGTGGTGAAAGCCGAAAAGAAGCCACCGAGCCAATTACCCTTCCTTCAACCAGGAGAACCCACATCGGCACATGGAATGTTAGGACTGTGTACAAGACAGGCAAGATGAAGTAGGTAGTTGCCAAGATGAAGAAGAACAACCTGATCATACTGGGCATCAGCGAAACCAAATGGACACAAACAGGACAGAGGAGATTGATGACAGGACAGCTGTTGCTATACTCCGGGTAGGAAGAGAGTGACGCACCCCATATGCAGGGAGTAGGCTTTATGTTGTCCAAGCGAGCACAAAGGGCACTGATTGGATGGGAGGGGCACGGCCCCAGAATCATCACAGCATCCTTCAGAACCAAGCAGAAGAAGGTTAAGCTCAACATCATCCAGAGATATGCTCCAACCAATGACTCAGATGTGCCAGGTAAGCTCTTCAACCGGATCCTCCTAGAGCGGATGAAGGACATCATCGATCCACAACTACGAGATGAACAAGCAGGCTTCTGGCAAAATTGATCATGCATGGACCAGATTGCAATGCTGCGCATCACAGTCGAGCAGTCCTTGGGTGGAGCTCATCGCAGTAAATTAACTTCATCGACATTGAGAAGGTATTTGATAGTGTGGATCGAGAGGTCCTATGGAAGCTCCTCTGGCATTACAGCCTCCCAGGCAAGGTGGTCAACCTGATCAAAAGCTCATACGATGCAAGAACCTGCAGAGTGATCCATGGAGGATAGCTTACCAACAGCTCCCAGGTGAAGACTGGAGTCCGACAAGGATGCTTATTATCCCTGTTCCTCTTCCTCATCCCCATCGACTGGATCATGAAGACATCCACCAGCAAACGCAGAATGGAATCCAGTGGACCTTGCGGAGTCAACTGGATGACTTGAACTTTGCGGATGACCTCATACTTTTCTCCCACAGTCAGCAGCAGATGCAAGAGAAGATCAGTATGTTGGCAGCTAAATCAGCACAGGTTGGACTCATCATCCACAAGGAGAAGACCAAGATCCTTAAGATCAACTTCAGCAACATCAACCCAATCACCCTGAATGGAAGTCCCCTGGAGGAACTACAGTTCTTCACCTATCTGGGCAGCATCATCAACCAGCAAGGTGGAACAGATGCAGACGTCAAGGCAAGGATCGGCAAAGCAAAAGTCACCTTCATCCAGCTCAAGAACATCTGGACTTCCAAAGAGCTAACCTTGACCACCAAGATCCAACTGTTCATCTCCAATGGGAAGTCAGCACTGCTGTACAGTGCTGAAACCTGGAGGACAACTAAAAACACCAACAGAAGAATCCAGACATTCATCAACAGCTAGTAAAAACCAAATGAAAAAAAGTTACCTGCGCTCTTTCCACATCCCTATGTATTTTTAAACAAATGGAGGTTTTTAGTTACCTTCAATGGCTATGAGAGGGTATACACATCTGCCACGTCAAGGCAGACCTCTAAGGTGGGTCCTAGCTCTAACCATTCACCTTGCTTCCTTGAGCTTCTGGCAAATATATCTCTAATGAGACAGAAAGGAGTTTTATTTTTTTATACATGCCTACATGCTTATTAACCCTTAACAGGGAACACATGGGATGGGCAGCAGCATTGTAACCTAGCTGTGTGATACAAAAGTGAATACAAATACAAAGAAACAAGGCCTGCGCTCAAACTCCTATTACTCCTGGTCGGCAGCAACGACCATAGTACACATCAGTAGAGTTGAGCAAACCCGAACTGAAAAGTTTGGGTACGTACCGAACATTAGGTTTTTTGGACCCTGAACCAGAACATGGACATATCACTGTATGTTTGGGTTGGAGTTCGGTGTTCAGCGATTTAATGGCGTGTTTTGAAAGGCTGCAGGCCAATCAACAAGCGTTTGACTCGTGTGCCCTTAGAAGCCATCACAGCCATGCCTACTAATGGCATGGCTGTGATTGGCCAGTGCAGCATGTGACCCAGCCTCTATATATAAGCTGGAGTTGCGTAGCGCCGCACGCACTCGCGGTCTTATTAGTGTAGGGAGAGGATGCAGCTTAGGAAGGAATTCTGCAAACTAGTACATTAGTGGGGTGGGGTACACTTCATATCAGAGAGTCAAATAGAAGCTTCAAATACCGCGGTGACATCTGAGTTTTAAAAAGTAATTTTTTTTTGGTGCTAAATAGTACATTAGTGGGGTAATACATTAGTGGGGTCCACTTCATATCTGAGAGTAAAATAGAATCGTCAAATACTGCTGTCACATTGCAGTTTTAAAATGTAAAAAAATGTTGGGTCCTAAATTGCTAAAAAGTATTTTAGTGGGGTGCACTTCTTATCTAACAGTCAAATCGAAGCATCTAATAGTGTGCTTACAGCGCAGTGGTAAACATTCTGAATTTCTGGGTGCTAATCTGATAAATAGTACATTTTGGGGCCTGTTCTTCATATCTGAGAGTCAAATTGAAGCGTCTAATAGTGTGCTTTCTGTGCACTTGTAAACATTCTAATTGTTTTGCTGCTAATCTGCTAAATAGTACATTTCGGGGCCTGCGGTGCACTTCATATATGAGAGTCAAATAGAAGCGTCAAATAGTGCGCTTACTGCGCAGTGGTAAACATTCTTATTTTCTGGGTGCTAATCTGCTAAATAGTACATTTTGGGGCCTGTTCTTCATATCTGAGAGTGAAATCAAAGCGTCTAATAGTGTGCTTACTGCGCACTTGTAAACATTCTAATTGTTTTGCTGCTAATCTGCTGCTTACATTGGAGTTTTAAAAAGTCAATTTTTTTTGGTGCTAAATAGTATATTTGGGGTGTTCACTTCATATCTGAGAATCAAATTGAAGCGTAACTTTGATTCGAATTTACTACATCGGTCACTTGTAATATTGTTTCACACCTACAACACTTGTTACACAGATCTAAGTGATAGAAAACAGATTTATATTTTCTACACTAGAAACTACCAGATAACAAGCTGCTATATTTAAAGCAGTGATCAATAGCTAAAAGGTGCTTCAACAATATTGTAATTCTGGGGCAATACCCTCACAAGTCAAACTGAGAGGTCAGTTTATAGGGAAAACTGTTGCCTGGAGGAAATTCTAAAACAATTTCCATATGTCCTTTGCAGACTTATCATGCTGGAAAAACACAGGTGCCAACTGCTGTGGCTTTCTGCAGTGTGCATACTGGCAAGGAGGGCAGGGTTGAGGAGTGGGTGGAAGATGATGTGGAGGATTATGAGGTCCTTGACCCCACATGGAATCCAGGTCATGCGAGTGACGTGTACAGTTTAGAGGAAGAGGCGCTGTGGCACAGAGGCACCAGCACAGCATAAGAGGGAGCAGGGTGCAAAAGCGGAGCATCGTCCCCTTGCGCTCGTCGGCATGTATTAGCTCTAGAATTACCAGTTATCCAAGTAATACATGTAGCGATCAAAGGATCCATAATAGACTTGAGCGAACCCGAACTGCAAATGAGACAGAAAGGGGTATTTTTTTTATACATCCCTACATGCTTATTAACCCTTAATAGGGAACACATGGAATGGGCAGCAGCATTGTAACCTAGCTGTGTGATACAAAAGAGAAGAGAAGATGGGGCTGGGTAGGGTATACCCTATGCAAACCACCAACCAACCAACATCACCAGGCAGACTCTCAGGTGGAAGAGAGGCCACCCAAGAAACACCTGGCAACACGACCTCGAGGTAGATTTCACAAGGATGGGCTACACCTGGAGTCAAGTAGAAAGAATGGCCCAGGACAAAAGTCTCTGGAGATCTACCTTTGGTGGCCCATACCCCGGGAGGGGTGGAGGGCATAAGTAAGTAAAAAGAAGAAAGCAGACAATACCAGAATTGGAATAGCATGCGCTCACCAATCCTAGAATAAGGACTTTATATATAAATGACCAAAAATGAATTAAAAAAATAATAATAAATGACCAAAAATGAATGAAGAAACTCTAGCAGACCTATAATAATAAAATAAAGGAATTTGATACAGTTCCTCACAATAGGTTAGTTTTCAAACTAAAAGAAATTGGTCTAGATGAATATTCTTGTTCTTGTGTATAACATTGGCTTAAGGATAGAGTACAATGAGTTGTCATTAATGGTAAATTTTCAGGCTGGACAAAAGTGGTAAGTGGTGTCCCTCAGGGTTCTGTTTTGGGGCCGCTTCTATTTAACATATTTATAAATGATCTCACAATACACATTGAAAGTTATGTTTCAGTGTTTGCAGATGACACAAAACTTTGTCAAGTAATGAAATGTGAGCAGGATATTGCTTTGCTGCAGAGGGATTTAGATAGATTGGGGGACTGGGCACTAAAATGGCAGATTACATTTTTATTGTAGAGAAATGCAAAGTTATGCACTTCGGGGTCAACTTACACCCTAAATGGTAGTGAATTAGGAATAACCACACACAAGAAGGATTTGGGAATTGTTATAGACAACAAATTAGGCAGCAATATGCAATGTCAATCTGCAGTTGCTAAGGCCAGTAAGGTTTTGTCATGTATAAATAGGGGCATCAATTCTCGGGATGAAAATATAATTCTGCCTCTTTATAAATCGCTGGTAAGACCACACCTTGAATATGCTGTGCAACTTTGGGCACCTGTTCTAAAGAAGGATATCATGGCACTAGAAAAAGTGCAGAGACGAGCTACAAAATTGATAAAAGGAAAGGAGCATTGTAGTTACGAAGAAAGGTTAAAACAATTTAAATCTCTTTATTTGGAAAAATAGTGCCTCAGAGGGATTATGATAACATTATTCGGAGCCAGTACAAACCATTATCTGGAAATCTATTCATAAACAGGGCTATACATGGGACATGAGGTCACGCATTTAGGTTGGATGAAAGGAGATTTCATCTAAGGCAAAGAAAAGGTTTTTTTTTTTTACAGTAAGAGCAATAAGGATATGGAATACTCTGCCTGAAAAGGTGATTTTATCAGTGTCCATACAGATGTTTAAACAGCAATTGGATAAATTCTTGCAAAAACATAACATAAAGGGATAACATTTCTAATTAGTGGGGTAATAGCTGCTTGATCCAATGAGATATCTGACTGCTCTTTTGGTGTCAAGAAGGAATGTTTTCCTAGTTTGTTGCAAAATTGGAAGTGCTTCAGACTGGGTTTTTTGCCTTCTTTTGGATCAACAGCAAAAACATATGTGAGGAAGGTTGAACTTGATGGATGCGAGTCTCTTTTCAGCTATGTTACTATGTAACACACTTCCTGTAGGGGTTCAGGTCTACTTGAAAACATCCTGAAGTCTCTGGTCTCAAAGCCAACAGCTTCATTAAAGATACAATAGAGTTCCTCATGAAACGCAGTGTGATCACACAGTTTCCAGACAATACCCTACTTATAACTATGGATCTATTTTCCCTGCATAGCAACATCCCACATAAATATGGAGTTAATGTATTCATATTTTCTCTCAACTCATAACTTTCTCTCAACTCATAGAATTGCAATAAGCACATAAGCACTCTGCCTTAATCATTCATACACTCTGCTCTGCAAATACCTCATACACATCAACGATAATATATATAGAAAGAAACCTCCACACATGTACCACTAGTCATAATATATAACCTTGCACTTGACTTCATAAATAAAAGCATCATGAATCTACAACCACTGCTTACTGAAGATGAGGCACCAAAATAATTATTCCATGTACTCCTTGTTCTGGCATTTAGACAACCACCAAATTTGAAACAAAAATTGGTCAGTAGAAAACTGTCAACATTTAAACAAGGAGAATAGGTCTATGTCCTGCAATAAACCACACTGAAAACTGTGCCAACATATCTATACACAGGGCTGGCCTGTCCATAGATCCTGGTGAGGCCATGGCTCCATGTGGCACTTTGACAGGAGCAGCATTTTGCCACTCCTGTCAAAGCATGTTCTATGCGGATTATCACACTCCCCCAATGCGGGCCACTGAAGGCAGGTTCCCCCTAAATTATTCCCTACCTCCCCTCCCGGTGTGTCCCCATGCCCAATTTGTAATTAGCCCCATGGCCTGTGCTCCACTTAGATCGAGGGAGAGCTCTCAGCAGCTTTGCTGGCTGTCTGGAGCACCCCCACGTGAAAACGTGCTGGTGGGGATT